GTCGCCACAGAGAGAGAAGACTGGTATAGGGGGCTCTATGATTTCCCAGCCACATATTCCCGGGAGTCCAAGAGACAGAGAGGCTGCCACAGAGAGACAGGAAGAGGAGAAGATGTTGAGGAAAAGAGACTTGAGAAGGCCCAGGGTGAGGTAAAAAAGGCCGATGATTGAGCTGGCGCCATCCAGAGTTTAATGACTTCCCCATGGCTTGAATCTCGAAAAGGAACGGAGAGGTCGGTACCTTGTCCCTAACCCAGAAAATAATGATCCCAAACCTTCCAGGCATAAAAATTCGAAATAGAAAGATATCCCGAGCATAGCGCTCTCAGCCGTGCTGCGACACCACACTGGTCTCAGAGAAACTGCAGAGATAGCAACAGCTGCCTGGATTTTATTTGTGGCTTCGGAGAACATTCTGATGATGTTCACCTGGTGATAGATCACAATGTAAAAAGGAGAGCTCAGGAGAAAACTTGTCAGTAACCTAGAAGAGGGAGCTTGATGAGGATAAGAGAAAATGGAATCAATTGTTTGTTCTTGATGGTAGCGATGACACTAAAGTGTTCATGAAAGTTGAGATTCTGGACAAGCTGTTCCTCATGGTGAAGGAGGGGAACACTACTCCTGCTGCAGTGAATTTGTGGAGGGAAGTATTTAGGCATTTCACTCCAGAGAAAGATGACATCAGGAAACCAACTGAGATAGTGGCAGAGGGCTATTGTGAACTGGCTCAGAGAGAGTGAACGTCTGCAGACCAGACTCCTTGGTGCCAGCCGGAGGGACAGCACCAACACGAACACAGGGTGGGCAAGGGGGGTCATACAGTGGATAGAGCGGAAGATTGGGAGGAAGCTGGTCTGGATTGTTTGTGACTCCACACCAACGAGTTGCCATCGACATCTGATCCAGAGCTTGATGGCAAGACTTTTTCAAAACAACAGATGGTCTGGTCCTCTGGCAAGATGCTGGACTCTGCCACTGAGCTAGAAATAAATCCCAGCCAAAACCCGCAGCGTCTCCACCTGAGCTTGCAAATACTGTCATTGATGACCTGGAGTACTGACCAGTACTATGGTTACATGGATTTGCAGTGCCATCAAAACTGGGGAAGGTCATGCCTGATAGACTTGCTTACCTGCAGATAGGTCCAGTCTTACATTCTAGGTGGCTCACAACGGCTCGTGTCTGCAGAATTCTAATGCCCATCATAAACCCGAAAGGGTCCAGCTTCACAACCTGAGACTTATTGTCCACCTCGGAGGCCGATTGCCAAATTATTCAACACCAAGGTCAAGTCAACACCGAAGGTCCGAGGCATGTTCTCTTCCAGCTTGAGCCCTGAGGAGTCAGCTAAGGAAGGTTGTTCAGATTGTGTGGAGCAACGAGGAGATCTTCCTGGTATGCTCATCCTGAGGCAAAGTTCCTGCAGACAATGCTCTGCAAGGATGAGGGAGGAGAGAAGAGTGGCAGTCAAAAAGATCTTGGATATGAGACTTGGTGAGAGGATCTGGGCATGACGAATCAGTTGGTGACGATTCCTTCAGTCAGGAAGACTCCTGAAGTCAACGAGGGTGCCAAGACCCTCACTGACATCTCTTATAGATCTGATAACATCCAGGCTGTGTGAGCCCCTCTTACTCTGGAGCCTCCTCACCAATGTTCAAGCCAGCTTTTCCTGACAACCCCATGTGGCACCCCTGCCTGGCCCCCTCACACCCCAGAGGTTAGAGTGTTGTGTAAGCAGTGCTGAGCGAGGCCAGCAGTCACGCAGGCCAGCCAGGAGAGGTGGAAGGCTACATCCCGAGCCTGTAGTGGTCAGCAGGAGGTGTGATGAGTAGGAAACAGAAGCAAGAAAGCAGGCTCTATAGTGCAGCAACACCGGGTCGTAGTAGTAAAACCGGTTTTTGTATTTGATGATTTTTGTTTTCAGCGAAATATTGTAAATTTAATAAATGTGTCAAGATCATCCGTTTCAATTATTCTGGATCATTTTCATCCTAATAAATTAACCCGATACATTTATTTTACTTAAATAAGCTATTTAGTGGCAAGGGTAAAAGGGTGGGAATACTGAATTTCTATAAGATTTCAAGTTAAATTACCTAGCAAAAAATAAAAACTTTTAAATCTGAAGATATCACATGATTTCTGCACATAGAACTACATCATTAATACCATGGGCCGATTTTTCAAACTCAAAAAAAAAAAAAAAAAATTCGTCTCCTTATGACACAGTTATATTTCACACAAAGCCTGTTCAACGAGCTTATGGCGCGGTGAACCTCTAATGGGGACTACCATTATCCACTTAGGTGGTCAGAGTGACGTTTTAATAAATTCGGCTTCAAACACGAGGATCATATATTTCATTAGCCCAATAAACCGCGGACTTCATACAATCAACACCTATTAGAGGTTCACGGCGCCATAAGCTCGTTGAACAGACTTTGTGTGAAATATAACAGAGTCTAGGACTGCTTTTAGTATCCTGGTGGTCCAGCGGTTAGCGTTCCCAGGTCACAGTCATGGGCTCGTGGGCCGTGGGTTCGAATCCTGGCGGGTTGAGGTGTTGATTGTATGTAAAGTCATTTTATTGGGCTAATGAAATATATATGGATCCTCGTGTTTCAAGCCGGATGGTAAAACGTTACTCTATTAAAGTTCATGGTGCCATAAGCTCGTTGAACAGGCTTTGTGTAACAGAGTCTAGGACTGCTTTTAGTATCCTGGTGGTCCAGCGGTTAACTTTCCCCGGTCACAGTCATGGGCTCGTGGGCCATGGGTTCGAATCCTGGCAGGTTGAGGTGTTGATTGTATGTAGAAAGTCCGCCTGTTTATTGGGCTAATGAAATATATATATATATATATATATATATATATATATATATATATATATATATATATATATATATATATATATATATATATATATATATATATATATATATATATATATATATATATATATATATATATATATATATATATATATATATATATATATATGTGTGTGTGTGTGTGTGTGTGTGTGTGTACGTATAGGTATGTGTATATGTATGTATAAATAAATAAATAATAAATAATAAAATAAATAAATATTGAAGTGATAACCGTGGTAACATTAAGAGATATACTTATTACTACCATGCTATTGCACTATTCCAGATGATACTAAATGTTACATAATACTTCCTTGAGATAAATGTTTAGTATATATCAGGTGCCTCAAAGAGAGCTCAGGTTCACAACTGGCTCAACCATGTTATTATTGTTATTATTATCCACTCTGTATCTGTATTTTTCTGGCTAAATAAACTGTTTCAATTCAATTCAACTTCTGGAAGAAATCGGACAGCTTTGCAACAGCCAATCAGCTGTAACTCTTGGGGAGGGAGGGAAAAACGCACTATAGTGTGGTGGCGGGTGGCCTAGTGTGATGGTGGTAATGGTGGTTGGTAGTGCTGGTGGTGGGTGGCATATTGTGGCGGTGGTGATAGTGGTTGAATTTTTTTTTAATTTTGCCGCTTACAGCGGCTAGTTTATTGTGGACCCCACACTCATCCTTTGAGCGGTAGAGCAAAAGGGTTACAGAGTATGGCTTACAAAGGGTCAGAAAAATTAAACCCCGTGGTCAGGATAGTATGGCACTAAATGTTACACAGTATTTCAAATACATTATTTGTTTAGTTCCTTACATAAAGGGTAACTTATTCACAACTGCGTGAGTAGAGGCGTGTGAAGCAGTGTGTCTGGCCGCACACTTTGTTATTCACATTTGCGTGAGAGGTATTCAAGCACATTGTGTGTTTGAGTCTATACTTAGGAACTAATATAGTTATTAAGTGCAAAAAAGTGGATACAATCTTAACATGTCGGCTATCTTGCCATTAGAGATGAAATGTTGTGCCATTTCACACACAGTGTGCTTGGACCTGTCCCTAAAAGGTTCTATCTTCACACAGTCGAAGACGTGGTGTTCAAGTGTGTGGCCATATGTCTCACCACACACTTTACATTTAGTCTTGTTTACATCTGCTTGAGGAATATACTGCCAGAGGTACTTATATCCTAACGTTAGTCTAGCGGTTACAACATCTTGTAATCTAGTGATCTTGTAACTTGCTCCCTATACATGTTTCATTTGATATATCTCATCATGGTAAACTATGGATCGACTGGTGCCTGTTTGCATTAATCTACTTGCGTCAAATTCATCAATAAGTTCCTTCCTAATTACAGTTTTAAGATTTTTTTTTTGAGGAATATGTGAGAGGGGATTCACGACAGTTTGATCTTGATACCCCGGTCAACAAGGTACGCATATTTGTGTCTCGCTTCAGAGATAAGCGCGTGACAACTTGAGTTGAGGGTGTCAAGGGCAAGTAGTGAGGATAGAGAGTCAGTGATAATGAGACTGTCAGTGACAGTGGTTTCAATGAATTTGATAGCTGTGAGTATGGCAAAATTCAATTTATAGAGTGGATGCCCAGTTGTTGATTCTAGCTCTTTTCTCAATTGTATTACCGTTAGGTTGAGTCACAACGATATCACTTCCAGCCCTCCCATAGGCGGTGTTAAGAGATCCATCAGTGTAGATGGTCTGTGTGATATTATCAACAGCCTGTAGAGTGTGTATGTGTTCAAGAGCTCTCACTTTGGCAGTGTGTTGGAGATAAATACTTTGCATATTCAGTTTTTTAGGCGGATATGTCGGTATTGTGATATCGAAGGGAACTGTCCGTCAGGGTGGAAGGAAGTGCTGCTGTGTCTAAACTTTGTACTGTCGGTCTAGTCCAAACATCTTCATATGTGTAGCTGTAGTTTGGATCCATTTAGATTCACCAGTCCCATGGTTCATACATTCTAGCAATTTCAAGGAAACAATGTTATCAGGATCACCACGCAGGAGCCTCAGGGCTATCATGAGGTTGACTTCAATTATTCTATCATTGTCACTGGGTATACCTAGTTCTTTCCTCAAAGTAAGTACTTTAGTGCTCATGGGACACCAGGGCTGGTACGTGGTAATCTATCAGAGATCTTATATATACTAGGTACATTGTTTTAACAATTATAATATTAGTACCATAATGTGGACTGTACTTAGCTACACTTCTAAGAGGTTCAGTCTGTCAGTACATTGGCGGGTTAGCTGTTGTATGGCAGGTAATGTACAAGGGACGGAGGCACCAAGATATTTAAAAGAAGAAACATAGTCAATAGTGTTGTTACCTATCTTGAATTTGGCAGGGCCGCGTTTGCGATTACCAGCTTGTTTGTTGAACACTTTAGTTTTCTCAGTGGAGATAATAAGACCAAGGTTCTCACAGGCTGTATGTACAGTACAGTCAGTTAAAGGACCCTTACTTACCAGTCTCGCAATTTACCTGGTAATACTTGTTAGGCATCGTTGTCAGATCCAAAGGTACTATTATTATAGTTTGTGCTGCCAAAGGCTTAAAAATGATCTGAGAATCTTGGGCATTCTGCGTTCCTTGTTGTAGTCGAGTTGCCAAGTCATTAATATAATTTCTTCATTATTTAAGCAAATATAAGAACATTTGGAAACTTCTTATGACCTTAAATAACAATGAATAGTTTATTATTATAATGATTCTACCTTTGGATTGTTTAATATTTATCCTGACAGTGATACAGCTGAAAATAGATCCACGAATCACAATCACCATTACATACAGCCTTACTTTACCAAGTATTGCCAGCTAAAATTGCTAGCACGAGAGGCAGGGTGGGGTCGGTGCATTTTTGGCTGACTGTACATGGTTCAGGGTAGTTTGCATTTCACGATGAGTTTTAGTGTGTATAAGAATATCATCAGCATAGCTGAATATGATATTGCTGGGGTTGTCTGGAATTAAATTTAATAATGCATTCATAAGAACATTGAACAAAGTGGGGCTAAGCACTCTACCTTGAGGGTTACTAAGTTGCATATCTTTAACCTCACTTTTGTAGCCCTGAAACAGTGTAGCACCAGTGGGAGGTGGTTGTGATGGGTGGCCTAGTGTAGTGGTAGTGATAGTGGTGATGATGGGTGTGGGTGGCCTAGTGGGTGACCGGATAAAACCCCAACGGACAATACCCCAGTCTCATGTATAAAATATAAAATAGAACACTTTTATGTTTAGGTTAGGTTAGGTTAGGTTAGGTTAGGTTAGGTTAGATTAGTGTTGATAAATGACAACCCCGTTGGGGTTTTGTCATGGAACCGGCCTAGTGTGGTGTTGCGTGGCATAGTGTGGTGGGGGTGATAGTGGTGATGGTGGTGGTGGTGAGTAACCTTGAGTGGCGTTGGGAGTGGTTCTGTTTTTGTCATAACTTAAGCGAGTCTGTTAAACTTTCTTCATTGTTAAACTTTACAGGGAAAAATCAACGCAGGAATCTTTGAGAAGTGATCTTGTGTTATGTTAAGCGAGTCACTAGATAACACTTGTGTCACTCGAGTTCCAGCATGAAAAGTGGAATCACCAGAGGTATTTCTTGACAATTTACGATGAAGTTCACAATAAGTAGTAGAGTAGGTTAGGTTATTTCAATGTTGTTATAAGTTAGTCGTCTGTCTCAGTCATTATATAAGGTGTAATTTTATATGGGGATTAAGCAATTTATTTCAACTTTAAAGCAATAAGTACAGTACTTGAATAAGTATAGTCATCAGTCAGTACACATGCTGCTGTCAACAAGCGGCTCTTATCGTGTATCATAAAGTGACGAATTATTGACCCTCGATTACACTTAAATTTTATTATGTAATTTGTTGTTCTTGATGCATGAAGTTTATGGCCATCTCTTGTCATCGGAAGTTGAAACTGTAACACACAATTTATCTAAAAAATATTAAATCATCTCCTCCTTCCCAACCTGTCTCAGGTGACGTCATCATATATTTTGTTAATACTCAAGGGTTTTCCACCAAATTTTTTTTTCAAAATGTGTTATGATGAAGTGGTTGTACAGTACGTATAGTGATATTTTTGCATGGAAATATGCCTTTAACATGGAACCTGTGGGCATCACTTAAAGAGGTGTGTTTACTCTTAGGTTGATAATTAAGTTAACACTTAAATATCTTTTTAACAGCTCATACCTAGTGTATCGCTATCGGTCACTTGGGCGCTTCAGGACAACTAAATCTCATTTAAATCATGAAAAAGTATTTGTGTGCTTCATGATCTTTCAGTATGAAAATATGTTACTAGTATCTGATTAGGGAGTTAACGTCGTCACTCTACAAATATTTCTCTTCCCAAGGGCGGCGCTGGTGACGGGGCAACAAATCCTCGGTCAGCTAGCAGGTCAGGGTGGCGGCTCTAGCAATTTTGGAGGAAGACCCTTTGGGGGAAGACCCTTTGGAGGACGACCTAATCAAGGTTTTAGCAACAACTTTGGAGGACGACCCAATCAAGGCTTTGGAAACAACTTTGGAGGTGGCTTTGGAGGACGACCTAATCAAGGTTTTGGCAACAACTTTGGAGGAGGTTTTGGAGGACGACCTAATCAAGGTTTTGGCAACAACTTTGGAGGAGGCTTTGGAGGACGACCTAATCAAGGAATTGGCAACAACTTTGGAGGAGGCTTTGGAGGACGACCTAATCAAGGAATTGGCAACAACTTTGGAGGAGGCTTTGGAGGACGACCTAATCAAGGTTTTGGCAACAACTTTGGAGGAGGAGATGGCATCTTCGGTAACAGTGAGTATACTGCACTGCCATTTTGTGTTCTGCGCCGGTGACGTTGACTGCTGGGGGACCATAGGAGGATTGTAGTAAGATTGACGCGGAGATAAAGCAAATGATAAGTAATTAGGATGACATAACAGAGAATATGGACAGAGAAAGGATAGAGGAGCAGAACAAACACTCCAAAATATAACTGATTTATCGACACTTCTGCTCACCTATAACAGACCAATGAAATATATACAGTACTTCGCACTCCCACTGTCTACCCACGAGCTTGACTCCGTCTCTTTACACTTGGCATCACCACGCAGCCTGTAGTGATGACTTTGTTAATATATGCCAGAAACACATAGGCTTCTCTTATCAACAATTATAATATGGCTATAATAGTTAAAAGTTTGGAAATCCTCAGTTAAGGGAAGAAATAACGTACAGTATGTATTACAGATAACTTAACATTTGGTGATCGTGTGTCGCTAAGAGTATCACGATGTATGTATTGTATACTAAGTATTAAAATATTAAGCACTATATAGTCTTATAAGCCTAGTTATTTCAATAAGCAAATCAAATAAATTACCTACGAAATGACGAGGATATGTATACACTGGCGGGAAGAGGAAACTTGTATCTTCTAAACTACACCTTGTATGAATACCAAATTTAATGAGAAACTCGCTACGTCATTTATTAATCGATTTACGGAATAAAAACAATTATAGAAGATAATTAAAATTGAACATAAAAGTTTTCCCGCCATTTCACGCGTTTAGAGGGACATTGGCGGAGAAGCTAGACAAGACGAGCGATGACACTCTTTGGGTAGAGACGAGCCAGAAAACCAAGAAATGCTTACAAGCAGCACGCAACACAGGAAGTGAACGAATTCCAACCTCTGGTGAGGATATCTGCAATTCACTGTCAGAGGGCAAACTTCTAATGTTTGGGAGCTGCCACTGTATTTTAGTTCTGCAACCTTCTTGGTTATATCTTTTTCTTTATTTTCTGATTCAATTTCTCAAAGTATTTATTGTATTTCTTTCAGTATTCTAACTTATTTGCTCATTTCCTCTTACTTTTATTCTCAGATTTACTTTGTTATATTCTGTTTTATGGGTTAACCTGGGAGAACCACATGTCTATTCTTACACTATCGTGTAATTACTGTACTTACATCTTACCGTTGCCAACACCAAGGCTTTCTTTAGAATATAACACAGACAATGAACCTTTCAATTAAAGTGGTAGCGTGGTAAATACGAGAGGTTAGGCACGTGACAATGTGAACCTTCACTCCCAACAATAAAATTTAGGTTCAATTACTGATTACATTACTGACCACTAAGTCTTACTTTATAAGTAACAAAAATAGATGTTTAGTTGCCATTTACAATATTCAATAATTATACCTCCTTAAGGGTATAATTACACAACATTGAGAATATTGATGGTCACTCTAAAACTTCTCAATAGCACAGTGATAGTATTATAGCGCCATGCTATTACATGCTTAACAAATAGGAAAACATCCATCAGCATGAGTATAGCTGGTTCACTCACATCCATAACAAACTCTAATGCTGTTGATAGTAATATATTTGGTCTCAATTATCAACATGGGACAATTGTATTCCCGATAAACCACCCACAACAATGTACACAATAATAATCAGCACAAACAGACAGGATATTCAAAACAAATTACGCTCGGCTCACTCCGGAGCCACGGTGGCTCGGTGGTTGAGAGCTCACTCTCCCTTGACTAGTTCCCCGGGCTAGTGACGCACTCGGATCTTAATCTCATTGTATTAAAGGCATCCTGCCTCGGGTATTTTGCCTGCAGGCAGCAACAGCAGCGGCAACAACACATACAGTGCCTGGTAGATAAAGGAGTCTCAAAGAAGTCTAAAAGTCACAGAGACCCATATATGCCCAGCCGTTTTATTTCAGGCAGTGAACAGTTGACAGGTTCCTCTCAAATGATAAATGACATCCATGATTACATAACTGACAATAATTTCAATACAGTTATCAGAATTTTCTGATGACTGTGAATCAAAACAATCTGACTTCAGTGGCGAGTAGAACTCTCGTACGTCTCACAGGGCAGATACAGGATTCTCCCTTTCCCTTGGAAATTCTAACACCGACTTACTTGACAATTTCACGAAGCTCTCAACATCACTCACAATGGATCTTGAATGTTTCAGCTATAAGCAGGTATTCATCTTACAGTATGCATTTATTCGAAATTTTAAATATACAGATGTAAACATGTGATACTAGACTAACTAGAGATTCTGAAACACACAAGAGAAAACGGACGTCCCAGTTCACTACTGAAGAAAACAACAGAAAATGGCGTCTCAGTAGGGGGACTCAAGAAATAAATTATAGCTGCAAATTTTATGGACTATTCAGCGTTATATGAATCATCTGATGTTACGTTAACTAACATGTATGACTGTGGTTATTACAAGGCTTTCCCCTCCTCAAAGATTTATGTTATGCGGTATAGTGAATAAAACATTCCAATAATTACATAATCTTCAAAACAAAATACACTGTAATGTTTGGTTATTTGTCAACAATACATACACTACAATATAAGGGCGGCGGATTCTGGCACTATCTCTCCCACTACAATTCCCTTCCTAACCTCCTGCTCCTTCCTCTGTCATCTTTCCCGCTCTGCCTTTCGCTACCAACAACTTTTTTATTGGAGCTTCTAAACTTGAACTGAACCACTGAACCACCGAGGCCACCATTAAGAGCCGGGACACTCTGCCACCATTAAAGGCTGGGATTTTCTTCCTCCCTTATATTTTTATTTCATACTTCTCTCTCTGTCTTAGTTCCTTCAATTATTCTGTCTAAATAGTTCATTTCATAGTTCCTTCAACACCTCAGACCTTTGGTAGCATGGCAAGGGTTAGGCACATGGGTACTGCAATTCTGAGGTGAAAATGAATACCCCTAATATACTCTAAGAAATGGTTTATTAATGAAATTAAAGTTGGGAAAAAGATGTCCTCGGCTTTTTGTTCATCTGCAGTTGAAATTGAATACTATACTCTGGCTTCTTACAACATTACAGGTGTTACATGGCATTACATTACGTTACAAGACAAACTTATATCTGATACCTTCAATAAACTGTTGTTAGTACATATGGAGGATGCACTCACAGCACAACATGTTATTACTGATACCAACAATTTACATGGGTTCACTACCCATTATGGGATAATTATATTCCGTTAATTATCTCCAAACATATACAACAAACACTGTGGACCACATAACTGTACTGCATGTTCCAGGGTAGGACACGGGCGTCTCAACAAATGAAGACGGCTGTTATGGTCGGTGGTAGTCTGACACGTGGCGATCGTCTGGGGTCCATGTCCCACGATGCAGACTGGGGCAAGTCAATCCTGCCGAATCGACGACATCGTCCAATATAGCTAACTGCTAGGTATCCACCGTCTCCAGGCAGCCTGTGGGGTGTTCAAATAACATACACACTGGATCTGAGATAAATTTGTAGACGCGTCAAGGAAGGATGATCCTCCGTCCCGTCCGGGTTTATATCCCCGTGAGTTGCCAGAGGTGGCTACTCACGCAATGACAAAAATTACATTCAAATCAACTGCTACACATTCAAAGATGACCCTCAGTTGACACGGGTCTGGCGAATTTCTAAAGTTGATATACATAAACTATTTCGAGATTGAGCTTGTCAGTAAAAGTGGAATATATACGCAGACAACTGTGTTCAAATGGGCGCGACTTACGGACAAGGAGCCTTGGTGTAAAACGCGTTTCTTCCTAGGGATAACTAACCAGTTATCCACATGTTTTGCGGGCGTGAAGTATAATAATAATCAACAAGTTTTAAAACAGACCAGCTGTCATTGTGATCATGACAACAACGCATGACAAATAGTTTCACACACAGAAAAAACTATGTGCACATCAAATGAGTTATAAAAAAATTATAGACACAGATAAATAAATCCATGAAATTAACAGTCATGTACACTCGGAAACCATCATCTCTAGCCCACCTGGGTCGGTACTGGAGGTTAGAACAGTGTCCTTTCTGGAAGGGGGCCCACTTTAACTATCACGAGGCAACACACACACACGAACACACACATAGTATGGCTGTATAGATGACATTATGTATAAATATTGTATATGGCATTTTATACTCTACATTATCTTCATTATAGCTGAACACGAAGAAAAATTACCATAGGTTGTAGTTACGAAAGTATGAAAGGAAATAAACATTTCCGAACCACCCAGTGAGTCCACACAACGTTTACAGCGCTTGTGTGTGTGTGCCAGACCACGATGCTTCCCATCATTCGCATAACTATATGAAAAATCGTGTTTAATTTAACTACATATTTCAAAAACCTTAAATTACATGTGGTTCAGTCACTCCTCATTTGACACACTTATAGTGTAATACTTTGACCATCCCACCTGGGCACATGGAGGCCCACGGTAACTCTTACGGGGCAACATACGCACGAACACACAAGTTATGATATGAACCCTTCCAGGCTTCACTATCATTATCATGTTATGTTCATCGTGCTCTGTATCTTGGTAACTAGTCATAGTATCAATACATGACAGTGTTATTAGTATAATATTGTAACTTTTACCCTACAGTTGTTGTTGTAAATCATGGACAGGAAGGATACATAAATTGTAATATCAAGTGTATGGTTCGCTCAAAGTCACCCCAAGTCAGACAACGCGTCACACAAAGTTACACTGTGTGTGTGTATACGTGTGTGTGTGTGTGTGTCTGTGTCTGTGTGTGTGTGTGTGTCTGTGTCTGTGTGTGTGTGTGTGTGTGTTGTAACATTAAGCTTCATCCGTAGTAGGTAAGATGTTTCATAAAGAGGTTTCTCCCATTCGTCATTGGGAGCATCGTCCCAGAGCACATTGTTTCCATCAAAACCATGGTTCATCTTTATTTCCCTTCT